CGGAAAGATCGAAAGTTTTTATCGACGTTGAACGGCAAGAAAGGTTAATTTAATCAAGCACGAAGTTGCTAGCACGTCGAGCATGTTCGACTTTACTTAGCACACTCTTTCTATTCAATTCAGGATATTCTTCATCTTTTAAGGAATGCTTCGACTCAAACTTCCTGCAAATTAATTTTTTGTCTTATAGTTTCTTAATGATACGATTAAAAATGTAACTAAATGTATATTATTACGTTAAAATCTGAAGATTCACATTATTTTGTAATTTTAATATATTTTTTACACTTTATTTTATTTGTATACCGTGATGTTGTAATTATTATTTCCATTAAAGTTGCATGTTTTCTACAACCTTCATTTGTACCTTTCTAATGAAAAAAAAATCTATAAATATTGATAAAATTTAGAAATTAAGAAATGATAATAACAACAAAAAAATAAGAATTTCCTTTCATCCATTAATTTATGATAAATTTTATTTATACATCACAAAGATTTAATTCGTTTCAATTACAGTCATAATTTATCAAGCAAATTTACTACAAATGTTGAATCGGATAGTTTTATTTTCATTTATATATTTATACTATTATACTCACTCTTAAATTTTTCATCATAATAAATATATAAAAAAAAATTTGTAACCATGCTTGAAATCTTCAACTGAGTATTGTAAAAATATTATAAATTTGAAGCAACAATGATGAAATAACCATAGAACATTGGTATTTGAGAAATTTATATAATTATATATTTCTATAATTTGATGGAAACTTTGAGTATTTTCAATTGTAAAAAATCCTCAACGTACAATATTATTAAACAAAGTAATTGTATTTGAGTTAAATTTCATAAAGTAGTCATGTAATAAATAAAACATCAAATGTTCATCTATAGTAATTACAAAAATGCAAATATTTATAATTAAAAATTAAAGAGCGTGATAAACACAACATTGCAAAGACAAGTTATACACAAGAATGTGTTTTCTTTTACAATTGAAATATTTTAATAGAATATTTCTTTAATAAAATATTGCTTATATATATATATCACCATTTCATAAAATAATGACTCTGATTCTAGAAAATAATTCATTTAAGACCAAATGAATCATACTCGTTCACTTTTAATTCTAGATAACTAATCTGAACAACGTTACTAAGCATTCATAAAAATGATGACGTCAATTGAAAACACGAATTAAATTTTTTTTTTATTCAACAACTATTCATCTTCTATTTTTAATATTGTAACACGCCGTATTTATTTCTATATTTTAATAACGAAATTCGAAGAATCAAATGACTAACAAGTAAATGATATTTATTTCGATAAATATGATTCTGCATTCTGTTGAATGCAACAAATCTTTTCAATAAATCTAATAATTGCAAATTTGTTATATCAAGTATCATAGAGAGCACTGTTCTTTAGATATTTTATAAATTTTTTTTATATTATGTACAATTTCACGTATTAAAATTTGCATGGAAATCTACTAATGGCAATAAATTAATTAATTTGCGTGCATCGATTTCAGAGTGCAAAAGCGACCGTCTCGAATCAGAAGGACTTCCTGGAGTTGCAGAAAGAGGCAGACAAGGTATTGCGAATAATAATGTCCGGAAATGAATCTCGAGGCGAGATATTAGTAATTGCGTGTAATTTACAGAAAATCCCGCGGAGGAAAAGCATGGCGGACATTAGACCGATCTACAATTGTATTCATAAGCACGTGAGTTAGTTTCGAGTCGGTGCACCGTGCCGAAAGTGCATTTCGTTGTTTTGTTTTCGCGATAGTTCCAGAGTCTCGGGCTGGTAACAATACGGTTACGGTAAATGGTAAATTGCTTTCTGATTTCCAGCTGCAGCAGACCGACGTGTTTCAGGAAAAAACGAAGAAAATGGTGGGTTCTTGCATTCACGAATAAATTTCTCCTCCGTTTAAAGTTACGCGACTTAAGTTCTCTGTATTTCGACAGCTTGGTAAGGAACGTCTCGAGTTGGAGATTCTGTGTAGTAGAATAAATTGTATCAACAAACTGCTAAAACCCGAGGTAAGATGCAAAAAGATTCGCAACGTTTTCGACGTTATCGCAGATGAAATACGAAATAAGACAAGTTACTTCGTATTTCATCCAATTTGAGTGAAACAAGGTACATGTTAAAGAAAGGTACAAATAAAGTGTATATAAAACGTTTGACACTTTATTAATTATCTAAATTCTAAAGAAGATTCATTGATATATATATATATATATATATATATATATATATATATATATATATA